AGCACTGATGGAGAAGGTCACCTGCGAGCGCGTCTCGTGAGGCATTTCGCCCACTCCGATTCCCAGCCATGTCGAACACTTGAAGAGCAACGTACCGCGTCACACAAACATGACATGCTTCAACTATATATATATATAAAGCGAATTACAGCAGAAGACCAGAAGACCTCAAAAGCCAAAAGACTAGTCGGCAAGGAAGAATAAACGCATACAAACACCAAAGGATGACATAAAAATAACTCTCCCAATGGGGCGAAGCAAGGGTCTTCTTGCAGCTCGGTTGCACAATTGCTCACTGTGTCAAACCATTCCTCGGTGGCTGCAACGATTCAAAAACTCCACGTTGGCCCATGGGCCTACCTTGTATGGGAGTATATATTGCACGCATTGCCAAGTGTCAAGTCATGCATGCCTTGCACCTGAACTTTGCAATGCCTGGATTATCGTAACAGGTCCGATCTGCTTGTACATCTTTCTTTCTAGTGCTACATAGTATATACAGTACTACTATTGAACACCAATTAGGATACTTTCCTTAGCCTCTCCCTTTCTGCACAGGCAAGGGTAGCTGGAGGTGCAGGGAGGTCCATAAGGGTGTCACAGTTTCCAGGGCAATCCACAGCATATACGTCGGTCAGTAGGACTTCCCGCACTGGCTAGATTGGGTCACCACTCCAGGAACTAGAGGGACTGAAGCTTTAAGCATGAAGGGACAAAGGAAATGGATTCAACTTCCCCACCTGTCTGGAGGTAAGCATTCCATCCACCCTTTGCTCCTTCTGGAAGTGAGATAGAATCTCTATCAATTGACCCCCAAAAAATACATTTCCATATATTTCCCATGTCCCATTTCCCTTCTTTCGTGGAGGCTCATCTCTGGGCCCTCAACATGTTTGCACACCGCCACCAGGTCAGTCACGACCAGGTCATCAACGGATGATTCTGTGCGATTTATGAGGGAAATGTCACTGTCAAACGCTCCTAGAGTCCCAGAGTTCTAGGCTCTATAAAGATCATCTGCACGTTCCAGTACCTTCCTTTCAGGTTTAAAAAAAAACAAGGCGTGTCGGAGAAAGCCCCTGGTGCTGATGTCCCAAAAAAACAAAAATCAACTCCCCACCCACTCTTATCCACTCTGCGAGTATCTCCACGCATTTGGTGCAGAAGACCAGTGCCCTCCCAAAACCGCGCCAAGCCCTCCGAAGCGAATGGGATCATGCAATCCGGATGGCGTTCTCATCCGGAAGCTGGAAGTGACATGCACAGCAAACCACCAAAGTGAGAATGGTGGTTGGGCTTCAACATGTGGGTGATCATCTATAAAAGCTTACTCAAACAAAACATGACAAACGAGACACCAAAGTTTACCCAGTCCTGTCGAGCTCGGAAACCTAAAAGAAAGACGAGCACCACCGTGGAGGCATTCCAAATCTGACCTCGACTCACAGTTTCTACGTCTTCTGATAAAATTTGACTGTCTGATAAAAAGATCTGAGTCTACCTCCAACCAAAGGAGTAATAACAGCTAACGATGTGTGTATGTACATATATGTATATAAATATATATATATGTGTGTGTCATTATACATCTATATATATATATATACAAGTCGACATTCACCTCGGGTCTTGCACTTTCCACTGAGCTTGCGTTTATATACAACCTGTGAATGGAGTTGACACTCGTTTTGGATGTTCATGCTGGCTGTCGCATCCAGCAGAGCTCCAACCAAGTGACTGCTGGCCAGGTTTGCTAAGCCCATGTCATCTCTGAAATCTTCAACCTGCCAACAAATGCCCGATGACGACAAATCAACCTGATCACCTGGGATACACCAGGGGCCCATCAAAATAGTTAGATCTTAGATATGATGATATTAATTTGATCATTAAATTCAACAATTACTCAATCATATTCTCGCATATTCTCTATGCGTCTATGCCAGGCAAGTCGCGCACACTTGCTTGGGTCAATCCGCAGCACGAAGAGGTGTCAGGTCATGGTTGCAACACAGCTGTTCGTCTGACAGCTTGACTGTCTGCCATTCTTTGCATTGGAAACCCATGTGGAAACCCATTCCAAGCTCACAATGTTTGGTGGGTAAATGCGTGGGAGCACACCTTATGCACGGTGGGAGCACACCCTATGCGTGGTCACATGACACACGTTGGACTGTATCGCTGTATGCTTTGACCTAGATCCAAGGGCAAACCCCACCACTAACATCCACTAACCATTCCTAGCTGACACAAGCAAAGAAGGATGTGTTAATGGAAGCGTACGTAGTACCTAATGACAAAACGCTACCAAGAGAGGTGCTGCTGCAGAACAGACAGAACCACAAGGCCGCTGGGCCACCGTGCTCATGCACCCAACGAGTAAACCAACGTGGCGAAGTACACTCCACCCAAACGTGGCGAACCATGGAAACCAACACAAATTGATGGACAAAATTCACACTGATCTCTTGTGTCTATTTAAGTCTATTTGTAGGTGATTGAGAGCCCCAAATCACAACTTCATCTCCATTCATGCCAGGGACGAACTCGTCCATATACATCAGCAGCAACGAAAACCTGGGAGAAATCGTGACGTTTTTCATGGTGACAGCGGCGAAACTCCGTCGAGTTTCGACCACCTCCTTTTCGTTTCTTTTCAAGGAAATGGCGAGTTCGGTGGCCAAGGACAAATACCAATGACGTTCAATTTCTTTAGTGGGGATAGCCGCTCTGAAATGCCCATTGATGAGGTGAATGACATGGACGTATCATATGTATATATATATACTACTGTCTAATGACTTAGGCCAACGTGATGCAAGTGACATACCAATCTGGCTACCCCCAGGCTAAGTCATGTGCCCTGACATATCGAGCAAAAAAAATGTCTGGGTTGGGAAACCTGGTGTCATAGGACCTGTGGACACCTCCTCGACAAAAAAAGCAAAAAAACAGCTAAATAATGCTAGATACCACTGCCTGGCACCCTGGTGACACAGTGGTGACATAGGGTGCGACTATGTGTCTTTGCGGGCGCTGCTTCCTTGAATACCTCATACATATTTCTATATTTCTATGAATATCATGGTTGTGGCCTGATGACATAGGCCTTAAGAGGAAATGCCAATGTTGGATCAATCCTGATGACATAGGCTTTTGGAATTGGCGTGTATGTCCGACAAGTCCTAAGTTACTAGTCAGTAGTATATATACCCCCAACAAACACATCGTGGTGCTGACGAATCCAGTTTTCCAGGCTCTGCTCACAGAAGACGGAGATTCCCTACAATTCATGAGACCACGGAATGATTTGTTTGGGGCAAGTGAAATTGAACATTTGTCATTTGTCAGAATCCCGCAGGAGGCAGAGTGGGGATTCTTTTGATGCCGCAAAGAAGACCCCTTCCGCAAAGAATCCCCCTTCTTCCATGATATGTGAGGAAGAATAAGGAGAGTACTTCCGACTGTATCAAATTGTATCAATGTCATCTGTATACAGACTTGGGTCATCATCTGTATCCTTACTGATCTTACTGTATATGTGGTCATCACTCTCCATACATGTATCAATCCTTCCATCCCTCTCCGAGCGTGGCGTTAGCGAGGCCACTCCGGCCGCCCAGGCACAGCGCTGCTGGCAGGGCAAAGAGGGTGGACCGCAGTGCCACGGAGCCATCCAGGCGGAAGACTGTCGCGAAGAGCCAGTCTTCATTGTAGTCAATCATCCTCAGTTTCAGGGGCAAGTTGCTCCAAGTTGCTCCAGAGAGCTGACAAGGCGCTAGGGGTCAGTAGTAGCAAGAGGGTAAGTAGTAGCTGGTTTGTGTGTTCAACCCACTTGAAAAATATTAGTCAGAGGGTCCAATCATCCGAAACCATCACCTAGTTAGCCATTGAGTAGGCTGTTACTGGCCAGGATGCAGAAGAGCTGGCTTCTTCAAGGAAGCCTCGCATGATTGATTTAGAGTCCTAGATTTTGGGGGGAAACCTCACTTTGAACGATGCATCGCACGCGTCAAGCAGTACAGTAGGCTGTATCTCGCATTGTAAGCAAAGCTCGAATAATGCAAGAACACCTCTCTCACCTCACAGAGCAAAGACTGTGGTAGATGATTCTCGACCAACCGCACCCTCAAGTATGTCAGGAAGCATGAAACAATACATGCCTGTAGGTACTGGGCATGTATTGAGCCGCAGCTGGCACGCCAAAGTGACATTTGTACGGCACCCCAGGGATCAATACTTTTCAATCAAGGAGGCTGGATGAACACAAAACACGCGCTTCATGAACCGGCTCTTCCACAAAGTAGGGATGGTTCGGACGCTATTAGGTGGAGGCCATCGCAAGTAGGTTGGAGGCCATCGCTACTAGTAACAAGAAGCTACTAGTAACAATTTGTTGAGAAGCTTCATTGGTATCAACGATCGCCCCGATCTCTCAAAAACACTCCGCACCAATTTGGAGAATGTTCAAATCTTCGGTCTCAACCAAGCATCCTCCAGTGAAACACTTCAAACCGCCGATTCTGACGAGTGGATTTGAGCCAAAAGGCACGAAAGTGGGCGCGTCCCTGAAAGATACCCCCCTACTGATGTCTCTGCGTAAGCTTCCAGCTTTGAGTCCAAGCCAAAAGGGTTTAAGAAGGGGCCATGCCAAATACATTGATTCCAGTTTGTGCAGATTCTCATGGCATCCAGTGGCCCCCAAACCGAACATGGACTACCTCGCTTGGACTACCGACGACCTCGCTTGGATGCGACGTCCGGCCGTCCAACGGCCTGGTAGACGCATGGTTCGTCCTTTTGGCCGCCAAAACGACGGTTCCGTCGAGTCTAGAAACCAGCAATGAACATTGTTGAACTTGGTGAACTAGAGTGAATACTAACAATGAGGATGTCAACAAAGTCAACAACATTGTCCAAAACATTGTTGAACTTGGTTCACCAACCCATGACGATGATATCGCTCTCGGCCAAGACCACAAAAAAGATGTCCCTGGCGCCTCGTGGGTTTCCATGGCGTCCAGGAGCCGCGACAACAAGTAGGCCGATACCTCCATCGGCGCAGGGCACTAGCAAGAGCACAAACAAAAAATCAATTGAAGATGTTTCCACCACTAGGGATCGTTGGATTCTTTCACCCTGTTCTGCTACTGTATTGCGATGGCCGTTCCTAACATCGTTTTCCATTTTGCATGCTACAGTAGTTGCTCTCCACGAGCTCAGCACCCTCAATGCCCCCGGTCACATATCGGAGCAAGTCGGCGGCCAACTTGAAAAGGCTGGCGGGGAGCATGTCCGGCCAATAGGCTAAGCAAAGCTTCTGCACCAGCGCCGGTAAGCCTTGGCCAAGCCGGCAGATCTTTTTCGGCGACACCTCCAATGATCATAAGACTGGTGTATGCATTCGGGCCTTGCGCGTGAAACCTGTTCAACAAGCACATTCAGTGGTTATCCACTTCATGGGTTCATCAGAACGGATCTGTGCCCAGGTGAGCACGGCTTGTTTTCATATTTGCTGCACTAAAAAGAAGAGATCCGCTGATCCTCTAGACAAGTTCTCGCCGCAGAACCTTGGCCCTCTCTCAAGACCAAGCTGTGACACCTTCACGAGGCATGAAGCATCTGATCTTGTGCAAAGCTGCAGACCAAAGGGCTCGTGCAGAAATTGGAACAGCTATAAATGGGAGAAACATGCGGAAACTGAGATATAATGTACATATATATATATATAACTGGTCGGACCACGAAACTCGGCAACGCCAACATGATGAGGACGAGGACAACGAGGAGGAGCCGCACAGGTGTTGATGATGATGATGATGATGATGTTATAAGATGTTATAAGCCTCCTAACTCCTACCGTCAAACATCCACCCACCCAAACCCCCACTTTTCCTCTCCAGTCCAGCAACGATCCCAAGACGCGGTCCATGGAGCACGCCTTCCGCATTCTTGAAGCTCCGGAGCTGGTCGTGGTCTTCGGAGCTTCTCTTGAAGAAGCGCATCCGCTTGAGGGACGTCCACCTCCAATCGCCACAAGTCCGGTAGCTGCAAGCCCTTCGCCACCAAGGGACCAAGCCTCAGTCAAGTTCAAATTGACCTGCTTAACAAAATGAACACGAACTGTCTTATTCATGGGCCACTGGATGAAATGGTTCTCTCCTAGCGATTGGTTTGCTTCTTGGTGCTCCATTGTTCTTCTGTTTGCTAACATGAGTATCATGAGTTGCAGGTGATGCTTGACCCGTGCTAGGATGCAAACTAAACTCTTGCCAGTGAGAAGCGAAGGTGTGTGTGTGTGAGACAAATGACATGAGGTCATCATCATCATCATCATCATCATCATCATCATCATCATCATCACCCCGGTTCAGTGAACTGTCCGGCCCCAATCACACAGATCTGCTATCACCAACAACATGATCTCGTTTTGATCCCAGGTCCAGATCGGAAATCACTCCGGCGCCCAGACCTTCTGAAGAGCAAATCATGAGGCACGCGGTGCGCAGGCAGCAGGGGTTCATCCATGAGCTCATCGCTGAGTCGCTGAGTTCATCCACGCAAGGCAGCGTTGTAACGTGTTGTAACGTTGTTGAGGTATTTCTTGGAGTCCGACGTTGGCTGTGGGCTTGTTTAGGACGCAGAGATGCTGCATCCATGCAAACTCCCTGTCGCGCAACTCTCCCAATGTTTTCTGCTAAGCTGCCATCATTTCTCTTCCCAAAACTCAACTGCGTTTATCGGCAAAGGCCACTGATCAATGAGCCATTGTGGATATTATATGCGGCCACGATAGATTTCCCAGGCTCGAAAGTAAGAGGCCCAATTGTGGCCCACTTGTGGACCACACCCGACCAAGTTGAGACGATTTTCGTTGAAAGAAGGGAACTATAAGGAGAATGCCACCGCCACAGCGCATCTGTTTCCTAAGACGAGGACCCCCAACTGACCTTGTGAGCGCAGCCCGGAACTCTCGACCGATCCACCCTTTTGCATGACATCCGCTGGCAGGTTCTCCAGTTGGCCCTTACCTTTGGCCCTGCCACGAATTCCAAATCCCAAACCAGACAAGAGTTGACCAGAGACACTGGATGCTGCAATCCACAAGGGATGCACAGTTCAACGGGAAGAAGTGGATGAACTCATTGTCATGTATATATTGTGTCTATTTATCTTGTGTCAAGTCTTCCAGCCTTTCTTGGGGGGGTTGGCTATACAGCTCTATTCTACAGCTACAGCTACACAGTCACCTGTCGACGCAACTCATGTCACCTTCAGGCGTTCCTGTGCGTCGGCAAGGAGTGCTTCGTCCAAAACGGCAGCCATTGTTCTGATTGGAACGGAAGCCTTCAGCATGAGGTTCATCACATGTGTTTTCTTGGGGTCGGCTCTAATAGACTCTCATCTGAGTCTTGTACACTGTTCACACCTCTCTCTGACCAGCCTTCAGCGCCTTCTGTTCAACCTTCCTCAAGTCCTAGGAGGGCAAGTCAGGGGACAAAAGCGCATGGGTTTGGAGGGTTCTCTAGGTTTTCTGCAATCCAAACATTCCTTTCAATTCACTATGCCCCCTCTTGAGAGCCAGCAGATCAGGCCCCTGGGTCGAAAAACCATCTAAGGTTTTCAGGCACAAAGACTCAGAACGGGTTGATCTAACCACCCATTCAAAGCGCAATCGCAACCCTCGCTACTGTTCCAAAGTCTATTCTCCTCGTGACTTGCTTGGAGGTCCAGGAGGGCAACCCCGCCTGGACATGGTCGCTGGAGGTGATAGGTCCAAGCCATCCAACCCGCTCCAACCAATGATTGGTATATAGTAACGCCCTTTGATACTAGTAGCGATGCCCTTGCTCCCAGTAGATTCTTGTTACTAGTTGTAAGGCCGGGAGAGACATTCGTAACGTCCTTTCTCCTGTTGCTAGTAGCTCCCAATTTCAGGGCGCCTTTTAGGAACCAGAAACAGCTGCTTAATGAGGGTGCAAAAGTAGAACAGTTTATTTCATGTGTAATTGTTTCCTTGAAACATCCGCAGTCACAGATCGACCCAATCCCATTGTCATGTATTTCCAAATGGTGAGAGGATTCACCAAGAGTAGGACCAGGATCTCACTGGATGTGAGATGTGTGGATTTGGGCTGCCCATCTGTAAATTGAGGTGTTCAAATCACCCGTTCAAATGACCAAATCATGAAAGGGGACCCTTGAATGTAATAAGGACGCCACTAGACTAGACGCTATTAGGTTGGAGGCCATCGCTACTAGTAACCAGGACACTACTGTGAACGGTCCCACTTCTCTAAGCCGTTTGTGTCTTCTCCTGTCGTTTTGTGTTTTCTGCCCCAACGCCTGGGAGCTCGCAGATCAGCCTGCGAACGCAGGCTGATCCACCAAATGCGCAACGAGAGGCGTCTTTTCTATGACAAAGTCCACCAAGACATGTTTCACAGGAAACATATCTGAACGCTCCTCTCTGGAGTTCGGAAAGTATGTTTTCTGCATACTGGACTTCAAAATCTTCGTGCCAAGACCTGTTTTCAGGTCTTCTGTCATTGGCGATGAACCACCTTCTAAGACACCGGAGAGATTCTCGAAAGAACCCCATCTGTACACTGTACAAGGGCGGTGGGTGGGTAAGCTCAAGCCTGTGTTAGGCCAAAAATCTACCACTTCCCCTTACCTTTGCCCTTGCCCTTCTCACCTTTGCCCTTCTCACCTTTGCCACCATACTTGGGGCCTTTAGCTTCAGCGCGCCTTACACAACTGGCGATCCATTCGCCCGTCGAGCTGAACTTCGGCTGCGCCACATTGATGCAGCGGAAGTACGCGGACCAATCCTTCACGGAAGTCTTGCGCTCACGCCAAGAGGATTGCAGCCGTTCCAGGCGATCTGGTAACTTGCAGTTGGTGGCCT